CCCCACCCCAAAATCTATGATTCAGCTTCTGAAGTTTCCCATTGGCAGCCCCTTGCATTGCTGAAATGATTCAAAATCAACCTGTCAAATCTGGAGATCCAGAGATTTGATCTGAAGATTCAGCGATTTGGTTGAATCGTTTTTTGAATCAAAGCATCACCCAGTTCTGCGCACACCTTTAGGCTTGCAGAAGCACACGCTTACTGAAAGGAAACGGCCAGATGTGGGTTTGCCATCGATTCTACTAAAAGAAAAGCAGGTTCTGCTGCAAAAACAAGCTGCTGGTCGTTCCTAAATATGACCACTTGGCAATTCTGAAACGTCATATTTCTGCTTGCAGCCCTAAATGGGATTCAGATGATACTTCCACACTGCCCATTGTGCTTCAGCTCCATTAATTTCCAGGAATGGCTATCCCCATTGGGCAGGGTGGGGCGGGGGGAGAAGCAATGCTTTACGGAGGTGTATCTGTGCACGCTGGCTTGGCTGGGACAGCTGGGCAAAGTCAGTGCAGAGAGGGTTAATCCCTCTGCTACAGTATTTCCTCGTTGCAATACTTTCTCGCCTTTTGCAAACATCTCAGCAGCTCCTTGAATAGGAGAGGAGACACCCCTTCCCCACATTCTTATCCATGTGAGCTACGGAGCTGACTGGAGAACAGAGGGAAAAGAGGCAAACACTGGGAAAAAGGACTCAAACCATTCTTGTGTGCAAACATCATTGACCTCACTCAAAGGCTGTTCCCAGAACAGGTTGGTTTTTTTTAAACATAGAATCACCCTTCCCTCATCACCAAATTATACGGTGGGGGGAACAAGACCCTATAATGTTCTCACCGATTCTAATGTCCTTTGCTACAGAAAGAGGGGTTGAGTTTGGCCCACAGAGTAGGCTCAAAACTTGGCTGACAAGTTTGCAGACATCGTATTCTGTGAATTGAGCCAACAGGATTAATTCAGCAAACTATAGTTAACCACGAAGAGATGTCACATGAACCCTGCCATGGAAGAGCTGCATGATATGTGTGACTTAGTAGAGGACAATAGTCATTTGTTGGGCCACAGCTGAGCTACTGCCAAATGGAAGTAGCATCGGGCACCTGTTCAGCCACAGCGTCCGTAAGGGAATTGGGATAAGATAAATAGGGAAGAAGTAGTACAAAATCTTGCAGATCTACCAACCAAAGACAAAGCAGCTTTCATGGAGGGCCCCATCTTCCCCTTGGCTGGTTCCCTCTTTTTATTTTAAGAACCATCGCGTTCATGATTTTATGGTCTGCTGTTTTATGATAATAGGGCTGCATTTTTATTGCAGCCTGATTTTCTTCTTTCTCTCTCTCTTCTCTATATAGCAGTGTTTCTCAACCTTGGCAACTTTGAGATGAGTGGGCTGGCTGGGGAATTCTGGGAGTTGAAGTCCACTCATCTTAAAGTTGCTAAAGTTGAGAAGCACTGAGTTAAGGGGACCACTGAATTCTCCAAGTAGCCAAGCATTCCAGTAGAGCTTCAACAGGAGATTATGTCCTGGGTGAAATCAGCGCATGAATGCACAGGTGTGGCCAACATGTTTCAATCTTCTGTCTCCCGTGCCAAAATGCCACGGGCAGAACCCTAAAAGGACTATTTGCTGATGGCCATGGATTCCTGTACAAGATGCTTGGATTTGGGGTCCGCTAAACAGATGCTTTGCTGCTGTGCTGTGAACCATTTAAATCAGCCTGGTGCTCATTCCAGGCCAACCTTTGCCACCAATTACAAGACAGGGTGATTTTAAACGTTCTGGTTGAATGGAGGAATGTGAATCACCTCTCCCGGTGATGGTATTGACCTTTTTCCTAAATCAGCGTCCCACTCCCTATCTGTCCATGTCCACAACGAAAATCCAGCCATGCCAATTCCGTGTGGTGCCCAAGCTGGGCCCCTTAGAGGCACCCCATCCTTCATTACCATCAAAATCAGCTGGAAGCCTGAATAGTTTACCCTCTTCAAAGATAGTTTCAGAATTAAAACCCTCTCCGTTCCAAGCCTGATTGAAGTTTTCTTTGCCAATTCTGGTAGTCCGGTTTTTCCCTTTTTCATGAAATGTAAAAGATGCCAGGGGACATTTTCCCCATGTTTCACTAAGGCTGACCCGTACATTTTGGAAAAAGGAGGAAACACACGCATGGACCATGAGGAATTTAGGTCTGGGCTCAAACTGCAGGTGAGTTTACTGGGAACTTGGGTGAGGCCCTTGGGGCTGTTCCACCCATTCTACAAGCTTCTGCTCAGAGGGAGCTGGTGGCCAGTCCTGAAACCCCCATGAAGGCAACCGGCACGCTTTCAAACAGGGAGCACTTTCTCCTTTAAAGAGTCCTGTGCCGTTCAAACATCTGGCAGTAGTTCTTCATCTATGAAATGGGACTGGATCTATAAAATTTATCCAGGACAAGATTGTTGATATAAATCATTGCAATGTTGCTCTACATATTATCTATACAGAGCATTCCCCATCTGAATTCTGGAAGAGGTTGGAGGGGCACTTTCAAGAAATTCAAGCTTTTCGGGACCAAATGTACAAACTTTCCAATTATGCAGAGCGCTTCAACACCATTTACTTGAGCGCTGTTCCAAATAGCCAGTTTGAGAAAGCCTTTTTAATTCTTCCTACCATCCTGGGCATAGTTAGGAAGGAAATGTTACCTTTGCCAGCGCTTTCATTTCAGCAGCCGAGAATTTCCTGCCAGCTTTTCAGGAACTGGTTCCATTCACACAACAGGGTGAGCCTGGCCCCTAAGTAAGCCCATTTCCGAGGCCCCTAGGTTGGGTCCTACCTTCCCCCAAAATCAACCAAAAGGCTGGATGTAAACCAACCGACATTAACATTAACATTAACCAAGGTTCTTGCCTTGTGCAAACAGAGCCAACAGATCTTGCTGGAGCCCGGTGTGCAAACCCAGCCTTGGGGTGGA